GAAGTTTGTTTTCAACAGGTGATTTTGGAAAGTTGCATGCTTTGGTGATGCATGCGAGCTAAAATAACTTTTATTCTAAGAACATATCTGCATTTTAAGTAGGGAAATTTTATGTTTTTTATGTTATAATGTTCCCAAAAAAGTAAAGAGAAGCCAATTCATTATGGGTGGTCTAAAAAATATATGGAGTAAAAAAATAAAAAAAAAACATTTATGCATTTGGCAGATGCTCTAATCCAAAAGCAATTTGGAGTTTATTCAAATACACGCATACTTTAAGGACAAGTTGCATGCTTTAATGATGCTTGGGAGCGTAAGTAAGTTTTATTCCAAGAAAATATCTGTAACTTAAGGTTGCAAATGTGGATTGGGAATAAAAGTAGTAGTGAAATGGTATGTGTGATGTCCAAAAAAAGTTCATATTTTTAAAGAGAAGCAAATTGATTATAGGTGATCTACAAATATTTTATAAGGTTAGTGGTAAATACATACATACATACATACATACAGTACATACATACATAAAACGTATGCATTTGCCAGATGCTTTTATCTAAAGCTACTTGGAGTTTTTGAAAGACAATCTGTATGCTTTGTGATGCTTGGGAGCTTAAATAACTTATATTTAAAGAAAACATCTGAAAGGTGGAAAATGTGGATTAGTAATAAAAGTAGTAGCAAAACTTTATGTGTGATGTTCAATATATATAAAGAACCTTTATTTTTAAGAGAGTACACTCAAGATTCTTTTTTGGAATCTATGATTCCATGAAGGACTTTTAACATCCGTGGGATCTTTCCATTCCAAAAAATGTGATTATTAAAATGTTCTTCACATTAAGAAAAAATGGTTCTTTGGGGTTCCAAAAATTATTTTTATATGGCATCGCTGTAAAAAAAAACAAACAAAAAAAAACATTTGGGACTTTTATTTAAGAGCATACGAGAATTTTTACTACAAAAAAAATTAATAATAACAAAAATGTAGTATTAGTACCATTTCCAAAAAACTAAGCCATAGTACTTTTTTGGTAAGTAAAGTATTTTAGTCGTTTTGGTCAAAAAAAAAAA